TAAGTTGAGTAGAAGCTTCCTTCTATTATTTATTTATTTTAGATAGATGGCCACCATAGTTGCATGGCCAGTTGTTGAGCTAGATTTGTAATTTTGTCCTAAAAAGTTGACATATTTGTTCTTACAGAAGCGACAGATCAACCTGAAAAGCCAGCTGAGAGTTCACAGATGGACAGTCAGGATGCTAAGAGCCCTTATGGTGCGATAATAGTTGTAACCATCTTACTGGCCATCTGTGCTTTGTTTTATGCACCTTTATTTAAGAGGGAATGGAGAAATAAGCTATTACAGAGCTGCACAGAGCAAGAACCTTTGCCTAATGATAGAGGACGTGATCTCTATCAGCTGGACACGTATGACCTTCCAGGCTTTGTGCAACAGCCACTAATCTTACGAATGCCCCACCTTTCACTTTAAAGTGTCAATGGGGACGGTGGCTTTTTTTTTGGGGGGGGGGGGGGTTGTTTGTTATGCCTCACAACATGAACAAAGTTTTATCCATCAACTGGATTCTTTGGACAATACTTATGGCCTTTTAAATGCACAGCCTTCCTGAATGTGTGCTTTCAATCTGTGGATTTTAAATAGACTGTTTTAATAGTTTGTAAATACAGAAGTGTATTACAAAAATTCAACACAAGTGGACAAGTGTCAAAAAACGCAAATTAAATGGCTCTTGCGGAGTCTCACCACAAATGTGTGTTTCTGTCGAAACCTGGTAAAGGTGGGATAGAGTGAAACCTTTCTGTAATGTGTGCTTCTAAAGTTGCAGGGCTGGTGATATAGTGATGCCTTTTCAGACCATGTAAACAAAAAATGGAACTCAGCCAATTAACTGTGTGAAACAGGAACTCTCTGGGTAGAGCAGGTCCTCTAACAATGGGAAGGTTGGTGGTTCAATCCCTGGCTGCAGTGTGCAAGAGATGTAGCCCCAAGTTGCTCTCTGATGCATTAGTGTGAATGTTAAACTGCGCTTAAAGGGAAAAAAGTGCTTTTGTGAATGAGGCAAGTTGGATAAAACTCTTTGAGTAGTGAGAAAGACACTATATAAGAACCAGTCCAGTTATCAAACACCTTG